GAAAGAGTGATCATAGTATAAACACATAACCTAAGGGTTAGGGAGCAAGATTTTTTTTAAGGATTTTAAAATTGAGAGTAAAAATACTTATGATTAGCTGGCTAAAAGAATGTATCATCGGTACTTCCCTGCTGGTCCAGTGGTTAAGGCTTTGCCTTCCAATACAGGGGGTGTGGGTTTGATCCCTGGTCAAGGAGCTAAGATCCCACATGCCTTGCAGCCAAAAAACCAAAACAAAACAGAAGCAATATTGTAACAAATTCAATAAAGACTTTAAAAATGGTCCACATCAAAAAAAAAAAACCTTGAAAAAAAAAAAACCTATCACTATTGGCATGTTTTTAAAATTTTATTGAGATTTTAATACCAGGAACTATGAAAAGTTATTTACTTACATGATCATAATCCTCACGTGTACCCTATGAGGAAGATATTTTCATCATCATTTTTTCAGGTAAGGAAACTAGGATTTAGTGAGGTTAAGTAACTTTCCTAAGGTCATAGTAACTGGCCAAACCACAAGTGCATCTCAAGTTTATTACTAAAGATACATTTGATGAGGGATTCAGTTTTTTTTACACGTATAGGTAATTCTGAATAATCCCGTCACTTTTCTCAAATTCTCAAACAGAAGTATTACCTGAGTAATACTTGAGGATATCTTTTTTTAATATAATTATTGAGGGCCTTTTGTATTAGAATATAAATATTTAACATTATTTGATATTAAATTCGAGTATTTTATACCCTGATGCCTAAAGCCAGTTGGCCTATTTGTGGGGAAGAGGGGTGAAGGCGATGGAGGACACAGAGGAAAGGATATTCATTTCCCCTAGGATGGAAAGAAAACACTTTCCTTCCCATGACAGAGTGGAGATCGGGTAAAAACATGAATTTTGAAGCTAAGTCATTGCTGTCCTGAGGAAGCCGAACTAAATTCCCAGTTACAAAATTCTGCAGTCCTATTTTAATGGAGACTTTTCTTGGGGCATCAGTAGCATTTGATAGAGTCAAGAAGAAAACAGCTTACACATGGAGACGTAAAGTGGTGGCGGAATAGAAAGTTTATGAATATAGGTACAAAAGAAGGAGAGGAAAATCCTAATGCCTGGAAGGTAGTCTGAGGAGTAGATCTGGAAGATTCCAAACACAGTGGACCAAGGAAAGAAACCCTTCAATAGCTATCAGAATTTCCAACACTTGGGCTGGATTGAATCTCATCAGTCTATTTCTTGAATTACCCTAAGTGTGGAAACTTCCTTGCAATTTCAGCAAGAACACATGATAGCCTATTGCCCAGCAGGATTACCACCAGGT